TTTTTGTTTTTTTTTTTTAGAAATATGTTCGGTCGTCGAAATGATATAACTGTTCGTCTTCCATCATGTGTCGATGCTAATCATTTACCTCATTATCATTTAAATCGACGTGGTCAACATGCTATAACTCGAATATTAAGTGTATTTGCTTATTATCATCCTGATATAACATGGGCACCATTACTTGCACCAATGACTGCTTTATTTTTACATTATATGACAGAAATTGATGCATATGAATCATTATTAATACTTACAAGTAGTGATTATAAAATAATAACTCAAACTGAAATTCAATATCAATCATTATCATTAGCATTTCGTACATTATTACGGCGACATTGTCGTTCAGTTTATGAATTTCTTAATAAACAACAACAATCACAACAATTATGTCTATTTGATGAATGGCTTTGGCTTATATTTGAACATTTACCATTTACATATCTTGTACCAATAATTGATTGTCTTTTAATTGAAGATATGAAAATTCTTATACGTATAAGTATGACATTATATCATTTTTTTGTTAAATATGGTTCAAATCCACAAATATTATCAATAAAACCTCGACGACGTGATTCAATATTTCGTTTATCAAAATCTTCTCGTACATCAACACGTTTGGAATGTCAAACATCATTATCATCATCATATAAAACAAATTCAAATATTTATGAAAATTTAATTTCTTATGTACAACATTTTGATTTACCAATGGAAAAATTTTTTAAACATGCTTTTGGTATTTCTCATTTACAACGAAAAGAAATTTTTCGAGCTATTGAGGTATGATTAGATATATTAATCAACAAGAAATAGAAAATTTTTATTTTTTTTTGTCGAGATTTCTAATTATTATGTTTGAATATCTTGTTGACAAAAAAAATTTTTTGTTACGATATAATACTCATTGAAACTTTTCAATCTACAGATCTAATATTTTTCGTAATGGTATTTTCAAGTGGCTAATCGTTTTTGAATTTGGACTCAGTGCATAAGATAGGCTCGAGTGAGATATGAAAAACTTCAAAAGGATAACTTCCTGTAGATCTTCTATCTAGATTCATAAATAATTTACTAGAATTTTAGCCTGTATTATGGTATATACTAACAAATCGACTGACAGTGTTTCAATTTGAGATTTTATCCACAAACAGGTCTATTTATCAGCACAATGTCCTGAAAATTTCAGTTCAAAAGAATATTTCCTTCCCGAGATATTAAAATCTCAAAGATCACTCATATTTGACAAAAAAAAACTAGAATTTTCTGTTTTTTGGAACTTTTATACCTCGAGAGTCGAGATACCGCCATTCGATTTTTTGGTATATGTCATGCCAGAAGCTAAAATTCTAGTAAAATGCCTTATAACTCTGGACAAAAAGTCTAAAAGAATTTATCCTGTGGAGTTTTTGTCTGAATTCAAATGTTCCATCGTGAGAAAAATTTTCTAATCCTTACTCTACCCTACTCTGCAATCTCTAGATCGAAGTTCTGGAATTTTTATTAGAAAAACAATATATTTGGAATGAGATTATTCAAAGTAATAAACACAAACTATATATTTTTGTCTTATTAGTATGAATGTTCTCATTCAAGGATCTTCGATCTTCTTCACTTCTTGTATTGTAGTCTCGATTCTGCATATTAATTGCTTGACAATGTAGTATATAAAGGTTTCATAAAAAAATTCATATGAAAAATGGAAAAGATAAAATATTTCTACTGTGTTTTGACCGAATGAGTTCACTGTTTTCCTAATAATAAAAAAGAATTCAAAGTTTTTTTTTATAAGCAAAAAGTGCAAAATTTACATTTGAGTAGATGTGAAGGTGACTGAAGATCTGTATTTTATGCTTAAGTTTATTGACAAAGATCAAAAATTTTCACATCAAGCTCTATTGTCGTTCTCTATATGAAAAACTATATACATATCGATAATTAGTTAGCGATAAATACTCGAAATTTGATGAGGATTTTTCTTTTTATCAAATTTTTTTCTATTTTAATTAGACTGAAGAAGAAAAAATTAAATTAGAACGTCGTCGTGTAATACCACTTCTTCATCGTTCATCATCAGCAGGTGATCAAGTTACATTAAATCTTACATCAATTCCAAAATCTCTTATAAATCGTCCAATTCAACATCAAAATTCAATGCCAATAATAATGATTCGTGAATTTGATTCAACAACATCAAGTCATTCAGATTTTGCTTATCTTTGGTCATTAATTCCAAGTCGTCTTGCTGATTTTCAACCTGAACGTATTTATTCATCAAATATTCATGGTCGTCGTTTACAAACATTATATGATCATGTTGAATATCATGAATATTGTCTTATTATTATACGTAATGAACATCAACAAATTTTTGGAGGTTTTTGTTCTGAACAATTAGCTAATCGTACAAAAACACGAACATGGTTTGGTACAGGTGAATCATTTTTATTTACATTAAAACCAGAACGACAAGTATTTAAATGGGTTGGTTATCAACAATCAATAAAAGGTAGTAGTACAAAAGCATATGAAGATTATTTTATATATGGTAATGATGAACGTTTACAAATGGGTGGTAGTGAAGAACCACTTAATATTGGTTTATGTATACAACGTGATTTCAATGAAGGTAGTACAAGACGATGTGATACATTTGCAAATAAACCATTATCAAGTAGCGAAAATTTTCAAATTATGGAAATTGAAGTATTTGGATTTACACGATGAATTATTTTGTTTCGGATGTTTTATTTTAGACAATGTATGTTTCAAAAAATTATATATATATATCGCCGAGTGACGATAATGTTACCTTATTGTATAAATGTGAGAGAGAGAGAGAGAAAAAAAGAGAAAAAACCTATCTCTTACATTGTATTATTGTGTGAATTTATCAGATCTTTTTCTTTTTTTTCTTTTTTTTTTGATTTCTTTTTTACAATGAAATACTTGAATCATTTTAGAAGATGATTCAGGTAAAATGTAAAACATTCATTCTTAAATATTTTTGTATATAAAGAAAATAGATAAAACAAATGTATTTAAAATCATGTTTCGTGTGTGATTCTTAATTCTGAATATGAGTTTATTAGCAGAATCTATAGTTGTTTTAGAAGAATAATTGATCGCACCAGAGAAATGATTGGTCTTGTTGATTTCTGTATTTCCAACAGAATATTTTTTACTACCATTCTAATATTTGTTTGTCTTGTGGCTTTTCATATTTCAATCATTGATTTAACTAGCAAATAAGTCTATTGTACATATCCATTATGTCTACAGTAAGTCTTAACAGAGTTTGGTGAACAACATTGAAAATGAGAATTGTTTGATTCGAGAGACATTTTATTTAAAAGTATAGAAAAAAAAAAGAATACTATTAAAATTACAAACAGATGTTTATCTTTTTGTTTTGTTCTTGTTCTTCGATCAATAAAGTTAATCCTGTTAGTAACTGTTTCAAATTTATTTTATCGTTTTTAAATCTAATATTCAATATCATTAAATGTAACTTTGATAAAAGAATATTGTATAAAGAATAGTCTTTCTATAATAGATTAATGAAAAATAAAATTTGAAATTTAATACAACTTTTTGAATAAAACTGAAAGTCGATGAAATTCATTTTTCGAAAATTATTTACAATTGCATCTATATTTGTTAAATGAAAACATTAACAGAACATGATGGAACTATTTTAATTGTATAAATAATCTAAATACAATAGCTTTGTTTTTTTTCACTTGTTAATAGTCACGTCGAATCAACTGATTGAAAAGCAAATAAAAAAGTGTGTATGATATCAAATTACAAATATTATATCTAAGCATGTTTAGTCAAATAGAGAGTCTGAAAGACGAAAAGAAAAGAAAAAAAAAATGAACAGTTAATGTTTATGATATATTCATTTCATTCATCGAATAAAATATGTCTAAAGTTCATCAACTTCTCATTTTTCTTTGTTTTTTATCTACTTTAACAAATTCTACGAATATCTCTTCATGTATTTCTAATACACCTTGTAAATGTATTTTAACTGAACATTCATTTATACTTAATAATTGTTTACATTCATTACCAGATTTACCAATATTTAATCCCAATACTTCAATAAATATAACAACAATTATTGCACAATATGCTTTAAATCGTTGGCCATTACATTTATGTACATATTCAAATATTGAAATACTTGATTTAAGTGGTTCAAAGTTTGGTTCTCAATATATTGATTTATCATGTTTAACACAATTAATTCACTTAAATTTAAGTAATACATCTATGAAAAAAATTCCAAATTTTGATAAATATTCATTAAAATATTTACAAATACTTGATATATCAAATAATCAAATAGAAATTCTTGATGGTAGTTTTTTTCGTTTATTAAATAATTTAAGTATATTAATTATAGAAAATAATCCATTAAAAGAAATTAATTATTTTGAATATTTACTTAACTTATCATATCTTAAATTTATTAATTTAATATCATCAAGTTCAATTATGACTATAAAAAATTTATTAACTGTAACACAATGGATTGATCTTGCTCATAAATGGAATAATTCAAATAAAACATTTATTATTCGTACAAATACATTTTCATTACAATCAATTTTACCAAATCCAGAACAATTTCAATTAATTTCATTAGATTTAATGAAAATTATTTTAAAAACATTATCAAATTCAACATTTACCACATTATTTTCTACACCGAAATGTAATTGTATTTATATTCGAAATTATCAACAAATATTTTCTTTTAATAATTATCATAAAAATTTATCCTCATTATTTCAATCAACAACTTGTCTTATGCCAAATGGAATTATTCATGCACGTTTATTTGATCAACGAACATTTACTGATTTAAATTGTTCATTAATGGAAAAAAACATTCGTTATATTAGTATTCAAAATTCATGTTCATTTTTAGATTATCATCTATTTATATTCAATTTTTTTATATTTTATTTGTTTTTATCTTATCAAAAATAGGGATTAAAATAATTATTAAACGGGCCATCATAACCATAACTTTGTCCATATGGTTGATGTGGAGGATATGGGGGCGGCGGAATAAATTGATTATTAAAAAAATTTGGACTATTATTCATAAATCGATCAAAACCTGGATAACCACCATGAGCATTAACTAAAAAAAAAGATAATTGAATGAATACCTGTTATTTTTTAAATACTTACTATTATTGTCTTCTCGAAAGTAATCAAAAGGTGAATGAGGAAAATTTTCACTACCGGGATATCCTAGTAATAAGATTTATTTTTTAGAGTAAGATTATTTCAAATATTTACCTCTGAATGGTTCTTGATATCTGTCAACAATATTGTTTTGCCAATAGTTATTTCCTAATAATAAATTCAAATTATAGAATAAGAAAATAAGATAATAAACAAACCTCCATAATCTTGATATTGATTCCAAGGGTAATTAAAGCCACCTTGTCGATCATAATCAGAATTATTATCATCATCATCATAATCATTAAATTTATCATTTTCATCAAAAGTTTCAATAACATGATCATTGTCATCAAAACCATTATTAACATCATTACTTCTACCAGCAAGTACATAATTAGTCATATCATAAATATCCCAATGTGCTCGACCAAAGTCATCTGTAGCTAATTTATGAATAGTCCACACATCAAAACATAAACTAGGATTTGTTACATATTCATACGGCATAAAGCAATATCCATTATCACCCTAAAATATCTTAGGATTTTTTTTGCTTCAAAATAAAATTTAATATAGTTCTTACCCAATGTGCTCCCCATGAATTTCGTACAATAAATGCTTTTGATTGATCACTATAACCAACAGCTAATAATGCATGACTATAAATAAAACAAAAAAAAAAAGTAAACTCTCTTCCTCAGATAACAATTCAATATAAACCTTGCATCGGTTTTTCGTCTACTTTCCCCGACTTTTGGTATTGGTACAACACCTGTTGTAGCTGCTTTATCAAATGAAGCGTATAATCTCAAACCAAATGCAAATGGAAAACCTTGTGCAAGACAAGATTTCATTTCGGATAAATTAACATTAATTCGAAATGCTTCTGTAATTTTATGATTTCTAGCTTCTCTATAAGCTTGATTAGTTGGTCGTGTATTCACTCGGGATATATCATATGGCCAAATTGATTCAAGACAAGTACCAAATTCTTCTAATGCTTCAATAGCACTTGTCATTGTACAACCTGAATCTATAACTTTTTCTGCTTTTTGATCTTTTACACGAGCATTATAATAAATAAATAAACGACTAATATCTGTATCACGACCATTAGCTTTTTTAGTTAAATATTCATAAGCTCCTAAAAATAAATATCATCAATACATATGACAAAATCATTCATTTTCTCACCAGCAAGACAATTAGCCGCACTAAATACGTAAAAAACAAATAAAATTATTATTTATATGTTAAAAATTTCTTTACCAACTGCCAGTTTTTGATTGATCTTCAACGGGTGTCATATAGGGTCGAAGATCAACTTTTGGTGGAAGTTGTTGAGCTCCATAGATTCTATGATCACAAAATTCTTGACATAATTCTCTTTTATGTGGCAAATGTGATGATGGTACAAGACCATTAAGACGAAATCTTTGTAAATTACGTTTATTAGTCAAAAAGGTTTTGAATGGCATTGTAGTCTGTTCTTTTAAATTACTCGATTTCAAATTAAAACTAGAAAGGAAACAAAAATTTCCGATATAAATATATGATTGAATTTCTATCGTTCGTTTGTTATTATTACTTACTTTAATGATAATATTTGTTTTCTTTTTCTAAATATTACAAGAAAGTTTTTCGAATTGAATAATACTCAATGTATGAATAATTTGTCTTAGATTGACTAATTCATATGCAGAGGTATATATCAATAGTGGTTATTTTTTCTTTTCAACCGAAACAATATTAGTCATACTTTTGCGTCAGGTAACATTGAATATTTTTTGTACTTATTAGAAATCGATATTTAAAGGAAAAGTCCAATGATTCATAAAGAGTATGCTTGTTATCTATAAAATCTAAGTGTCAAAAAATAAGTAAACATGTTTAATACAAAATTAAGTTTATTCATCGTGACCTTCTGCAATATCATATGATTTTTTTTATAACAAACATAATAAAAATCGATATTTAGATGTTTTAGTCCTATTTCGACGATTAATTAGAGAAATTTCTCGGTTGGTCAATTAATTAAGACTTAATTAATTACTCACATAATGACTATTCATTTTTTTTAGAAAGTGATAGAACACTGTAGAAGTAAATCAGTACTAGTGTTTTATAGATGATGATTTAATCGACTAAGGACATATCAATCAGATGATTAGACGAAATCGATACATGATAACGACAAAGGAACCGAAAATAATAGATTTCTTTCTTTATTCGAATTGGATATAGGTATTGATGTGGTTTGACGGCATTTATTAGTCATATGGCTGTGGTCTTTCACTTCACCCGCACCTATCTCAGTTCGAATAAACAAAGAAAGAAAGAAATCTCTATTATTTTTGGTTCTTTTTTCATCATCATTCATCGATTTCGTCTATTCGAAGTTATCTTCTATAACCATCTTACTGACGTATGCTTAGTCGTTTGAATCATCACCAATAAAATATTAGTGGTGATTCACTTCTACAATACTCTACCACTTTCTCAAAAAAAAAATGCGTATTCATTATGTGATTAATAAATTGAACCTTAACTAGGCAACGAAGCAGGACGTTACTATTGAGATAAATTGTTCAAAAATAAAAGAACGATCGAATTAAATTACAAAACTGATAATGAATATTGTCAGTAGAATTGTTTCAATAAATTTACTTTAATTCATACCATAATCATTGTCTGTCAGATTTTTTCGATTTTAGTCTGATAGAATACTATTAATTCAACTATAATTTAACCTTTTTTATTATGAAAAATAATTGCATTTACTTGATCAATATTTAGACAATGATCAACGCCGAATTCCTGTCTCAAATGAAAAAGATTCTGATTCATGTTGAATATAAATCAAAACAAGATCTGTAATGCTTGTTACTACTCTTTCGCGCTTCGTTTGCTAATTAAATATACATGGACTCACTTCACGTTTTCTACCAAACACTGGTAATAATTAATATTTAACCAATAGCGTCGTTCTCAATTGGAAGTGGTCTATTAATAAAAACCATATATATGTATATATATTAATTGAGTACATGATCAAAAAACATAATGATAATGATGCAATGTTTCTATGTTAAGTATATCCGTTCAAACGAAATATTTTGTCACTGTGTTAAATTGTCATTAATATATTTTGTATTACAAAAAATAAAGAAACTATATTGTCACAAACATATATAAGACAATAGCTCGTTGTTAAATTTGAAATTACTAATATTTTTATCTCTTTCTTTTCACGCATTGATTCACTAGTTCGTGGGTGACATTTATCATTCATATTTGTTTTTCTTCATCTTATCAACCAATTATATAGATATATATCGATATTAATATATTTTATTTATTTTTCAATATATACCAAGATGATTGTTTGAAAATATTCAAAATTCAAGCTAAGTCAACCAATTTTCTTCCATATACATGCCTTAACTATTGAAATTAGTAAACAAAATTGTTGAAAATGATGGAGTTACGAAGAAACTAAAAAGCTTTTCCAATAATTAAACAAGAAGGTCAATGATCCCTGAAAAAATTTACTAGAATAAAATAAATCAAAAGTTAAATTTTCATTTACATTAACATAGCTGTGCTTTTCATCAAAACTCGCGCTAAGTTTTTATGAAAAAATCATGATGAATATTACTCATACTTTACTTGAGACTTTTCTAGAATGTAAGAAAGATTTTGAGTAGAAAAAAGATCATTTTCCGTGAACTATTAAAAAAAAGTATCATTGACTATAAGACAATTTTCTACGAAATAGTTACAAGTTTTCGAAGTTTGATTCGATTTATATCATTATACATCCTTATTCTTGAATATTTATTAGTCGTTCTATACGTATCCAATTGAAAATTGTTTGCCAAGGAATCTTCATCCGTTTGCAACCTTTTATTGATTCATGCATACTTTTGTGATCTGTCAATCTAGACGCATTATCGAAAGGAAAAAAAACATCTGTTGTACAAGCAATAGAAAGAATAGGACATCTATAATACTAGTGTTCAATTTATGACGAGATTGCTTTATTAGTTGTACTCATGTAACAATAACGTTTTTCATCTGTAGAAGGTTTGCTTTAACATTTTGACAACTTCGCTCCTCTTTCTCTGGTGAAGCATAAACAACCAAAACCAACAATCTTGTCACGCATGTTTGTTGTTGATTGTAGTTGGAGTGTGGTATGTAGATGTGGATGTGGATGTGGATGTCAATGTAGAGAGAGAGAGGAGTGCAAGAATACCCACATAAACACTCAAATCCACACTATATCCACATTCACACCCATACCCTACAATCAGCTTTAATTTTCTGCTCAATGCGATCTGAAATAGCTGATTCATTTTTCGAAGATGTATAAAACTGATTGACACTTGTTTGAGCATTGAAAACTATCGTTTGTTTTTTTTTATTTTGATAGCCACGAATATGCTTAGATTGTGAATTAGTAGTCGAAGATGATTTATAAATAAATCTTCACATTGATTGCATCGAACATATTCTTACTTGACCTCGTTCCCATAAATGCAACTAAGACTAGTCTATACAGCTAAAGATTTTGATTTTGTTTATCAATTAACTGTTCAATTTCCTTTGCCGCTAACATAATGCTCTTTTCAACTAAGCGAAAACTTTTAATTTAGTAAGCGTCGAGTGACAGGAAAGTCAAAAACAAGAAATAACTGTACCTTGACTTTTTCTAAGAGTAGTCAATAAATAGCTAAAATCTTGATCCTTCACTTGTCCATTTGCACAAAGGGTGTCAGGTATTGGTGGAAAAAAAACTCGCATGTGAACCAGGACCCAGCCAGATCCACAAAAATATGGACCTGCAGCTCTCTATATAAGATTGATCAATTTAATGAAATCTGTTGAATTTCCTACTATCTATAATTCCAATAATAACATTTTACTTTCAAGAAAAACAGTGATTATATGTTGTATTTGATCAATTTTCTATTACCCTGGATATATTGTGGGCAATAAATATAGAAATATATTACATTACATGCAAGAGCTTTTGAAGAGAAATGTATTTATTCGTATAAACATAATTGTAACAGAGAGATATTCACTGTATCTCGACTCGAATAAGTTGCATATCAATAAAAGAACATGTTTTATAGAACAATTTTGTTTATTGTTGATCGGATTATTATGACATGAATTCGATACGCGATCAACAAATATTCTAATAAGCAAATGCATCGAGAAAATTTTCAAACTTTTATACATCTTCATATGTTCCAGACTCAAGTTTATAAATATTTCAGCGTCTACTTTATATACACAAATTTTTCATACATCTTGCATCTTAAGAAGACTTCATTATAATTCATTTTCATCTTTTCAAGCATTTTTTGCCACAAATATTATATGTTTTACTGCAACTCTATTAGAAATTTTTTCAACTAATCAATATGCCATTCAATTTTTTTGTTTTTTCTTATCATTTTTGTTTATTTTAAAAGATGAAACACAATTGATATATGAATCATATTAGAATGAGTTTATACTAAAGAAAAAGTTTCATTATACCTGTACTTGAATTAAATTATTTTGGATGGAAGTTGCATTACTAAAAGTCGAATATTCGCTTATACTTTGTTGTCGACGATGACGTGTTGCTAGTTTATATTGAACTGTTGATGTAATATGATCATTCTTAGTTAAATCGTAAAATAAATCAGGAGTTGATAATGAATCAATACTGAGTATTTGTTGACGAAGACCATATTTGAGAAGAAGGAGACGAATCAAAACAACACGAATAATTGAACCAATGATCCATATCAATAATGCACAGATGAAAAGGCATGTAAGAGTAATACCAACAATAGCACTTATAGGAATTGAATTTGTCAAACGAACAGTTCTGGTTGACGTCGTTGTTGCGGATATTGTTTTTGTTGCTGTTTTTGTTGAGGTGGTTGTTGATGTAGTTGTAGTTGATGTGCCGAGGGTTCGATGTGTTGGTATCTTGAAGCAGAAAAATAATTTTATATTAGAAATAAATTATATTTTCTCTTTCTATCATATCAAAGCACTAATAATATTTTCAAAACATGAATTAACACTTCAAGTAAATTTTACAAAAAATCAAGAATGTATCAATTTCTACTCATTCTAAATCTTTCTTTCTATTAAATGAGAGTTAGTAAATAAACATCTTTATATCTTTCACAAAAATATTCATTACTGAGTCAATGATGCTTTCTCATATAAAAATTCACTTTTACAGACATCAATCTTATTAATGCTATATGTGACTTATATTAAGTTACATCTGAATTCATCCAATTAATAAAAGTCAATAAATTGTGCTTGACAATCTAATTTTCTACTCAAACAAAATATATTTTTAAATGGATGATAACAAGTATAACATAAAACTCTATTTACTGTTCGTGCTGTCGTTGTTGTTGATATAGATGTTGTTATTGTTGAACCTAGAAATAATAGCCATTTACATTTATATTGCTACAACACAATTGATCTAATTACTTGTGCTTGTTGTTGTCGTCTCATATGGTATATCAAATGGCCAAAAGTTTGGATCACTAATTGGCATCGCTTCTTTCGAACATGTATTGGCTTCTGCCAATACACCAGCATCAAAATAAATATAAAAATGGGTACCTGGAGTCCATACAACTGTTGAATTTATCACTATACGATCATTTAAATAAAAAACATTGGCAGTTGCAGTCATAGCATTTAATGCATAAAAATCGACACTATCTGATGTTCGTTTGAATCGAATATATGTTTCAGTTGTTGGACGTTGATAAACTCTTGTTCCAGTTAAAATAGTCCATATTGATGTTGTTTTCGAGACTGTTCCCATTGGATATCGAGTAGCATTCAATCTATATAATGGTTGAAGACTAGATGTTTGTGATGATACAGCAAAACGAAGACAAGTTGAATCTCCTTGATTTCCAATAGAATCAACAGCAGAGAAACAAAAGAGATTTTGTCCTACTTGCTGAGCATTTGATGTAAAATTAGCAAGAAAAGCAAAGATCTTACGATCAAATGGATCTTGTTGAATAGATGTTGTTAATAAACCAGTTGGATTAACACTAATTATACTTTGAACAGTGGCATTAGTACATTGAACTTCAAAACGAACACGAGTAGTATAAGTGGCACCTACTGACAGATAGATACAAATGTCTGGTACGAGATCGCCTATATAGATTGGTCCAGTAACACAAGGATATGAAGAATCGTAAACATGAAATACGAATTGAATAGGTACTTGTGAAAGATAACTAGTTGATGATATATTGATTGGTAGTATCACGAAGTCCTCTATTGTCAAAGCAGCTGCATAATATCCAGTAGTATTTGGTGTAAAGTTTAAATAACATCCATAATTATCAATAATACCACCAGGTACACTATTACTAAGTCCACCACATTGTATAGAACCTTTACACCAAAGACAAATATATGGATCAAAATCATTATCAGCGACGTTAATTTTGATAGAATAGCTGATTTTATTTCTTAATCGATAGATTGGTAACATAGTAATAATAGGTGCATTGTTATACCATCCAGTATCGACTCTTTTATAGGTTTGAATTTGAACAGCAACACTCCATGCCAAATTGACTCCTGTAACAAGATTAAACCAAGCCGAGTTATTAAACGTGGCTACAAAACTGGAATTTCGTCGAATATTTAAAGTAAAACGTCCTTCACCCATTGCATATTGTTCACCAATGTTATAACCAGTACAAGGAACTAGAACGCTTCCAAGTGTTGTTAAGCCTGTTGGACAATTACTCACACAAATAATATTATAACTACTAGCGCCTAAAGTAGGCTGTCCATTTGCAATAGTTGTTCCAGTACAAAGTGGAGTATAAGCGTCATATCGCCAAGCATGACGTTGAAGAATTTCAACAAGAACAGTTGAAGATGATTCATTGATTATACGCCAAGATATCATAGAACCACGAAAATGAGTGGCTTGTATAATATTAAACATATAAAGCACAACAAAGAACATTGTATAGGTATGTTTATGATGCATACTTCTTGTAAAATATGAATAATAAAAAATGTACGCTGAGCACTATATAACCACGATAGGCTGTATGCAGCTATTTCGACTGAAAAAGAAAATGGTATTTTATTTGACAGGAGCAAATAAAAAAAACTGCAAACAAATATGTAGGATTTCGACATGAATTTCTATTGTTCTTGTAAGAGAAAAATATATTACATTCAATTTCGCTCTTTCTCTTATATATACATATATTTGTCTACGTATTTTTTTCATAATATTTAAAAATTATGCTGATGAATAAATGAGCTATAGTGCAGAACAAAACTCATTCATTCTGTACTATTGTATGGCTATGTTTTACTTGATAATGTTTGTTTAAGGTAAAACCATTGGCTTCGATCTATATGCAAATGTTAACAACTGAAGTAAACAACATTGATATTCTACACTCAAAATACAGTTTATACCAAACAATGTCTAAGAAACGTGCTATGGATGTTTCGTAGGTTCGGAAAAAATCTAATATGTAATATGCTAGATTCCTTCAATGTTTTTAATATCTCAATATTTTGATTACTAAGTCTTTGAATAAAAAAATAATTGCGGTGAAGTTTTGAGTAGTATTCTTCTAATCAATTTTTCTGGCTAAAAATCCAATGCATTCATTAATATTCAAGAGAAAAAAATTTGAATATATTCATATATACATTAATTCTCTCGTTTGAATTTGACTTCAGTCACAAACATCGACTGACGAAACATAATTCATCCTTGTGTAATTTAGCTTTATGATTAACCATTTATAATCTCGAGATGCCGATTGTTTCTGTGATTTATTTACAAAATAAGTAAATAAATTTTCTTATTATTTTTCATCGAAAAAACTCCAATTGATTATAAGAAAATAATAAAATAAATTCGATACAATGTAGCTGTGACTAGGCAGGCACTAAGTGGCTAGGGACTTTTTTATCTAAATGAAAAAGAAATTTCATAAGTATCGAACTTAACGGTGTCTCATAAGTTTTCAGCCACAACGAAAATTAATTTATATGTAAGCCAAGAGTGATCTCTACCAAACTAATGTCCGTTTCAAAATATAGTGCTCTCCATTGGTTTTGAATAAATCAAGAAGGCAATGAGCTAGAGGCCTGTGGTTTTCACCAATCGATAGAAGACTTGAGGGGACACAAGTCTATGACAAACTAAGAACCAGCCTTGTTTTGAGAGTACTGTAGTTTCTAAATCTATCAAAGATTCAACTATAAAAGTATGACACCTCAACA